GAGGCAGAGGCAGGCGGATCTCTGTGAGTTCGAGACCAGCCTGGTCTACAGAGCTAGTTCCAGGACAGGCTCCAAAGCCACAGAGAAACCCTGTCTCGAAAAACAAAACAAAACAAAACAAACAAACAAACAAAAAACAAACCATGAGCTTTACAGTACTGGACAACTTGCTTTTGCAGAGAATCCACATGCGGTTCCCAACAATCACACAGGCTTACAACTGCCCCGACTCCAGCCCCAGGGGATCCAACACCCTCTTTTGGAGAGGTACATCATGCATGTAAAAACTGATACACATTTTTTAAAAAAATTAAAAAAAAAACCAAAACACAAGCTTTAGCCAGATGCTGGTGTACACTGTTATTCCTAGCACCTGGTAGGTAGAGGCAGGTAGACAACTGTTGAGTTCGAGGTCAGCCTGGTCTACATAGGGAGATCCTGTCTCAAAAAGAGCAAACATAACCCAGCATCCACATCAGCTGATTTACAACCCACTCTAACTCTAATTCTAGGGGAATCCAATGCCCTTTTCTGGCCTCCAAGGGCACTTGGAATAGCCACACACACAACAAATCTTAACAAACCACGACACGTTTTATAGTTTCAGTTGGGAGGTGGGGATGGCTCAAGCCTTTAACCTCAGTCCAGTCTTGCTGTTTTGAGACATGTTTTCTCTGTGAAACACTCCCGGCTGTCCTGAAACTCACTCTTGTAGACCAGGCTGGCCTCGAACTCAGAGATCCGCCTGCCTCCCGAGTGCTGGGATTAAAGGCGTGCGCCACTACCGCCCGGCTCAAATTTTTAATCTCAAAACTCTAATCCCAACCCATGGAGGCGGAGGCAAGCGGATCTCTAACACTCCGCGGAGCAGATGGACGCGGCGACCATCGCAGCACTCACCCGCTCGGCGTTAGACAAGCTCGCTCGGTTTTCCAGGGTGACGCTGGAAGCAGCTAGTCCACGACTCACTTCAAGCCTCGCTCGACGGAAGCAGAGGGAGCGATTTGCAGGTAGTCACGACGGGGCGCAGGTCTGGACGCCGGGCCTCAGACTTCGGGAGTCCTTAGCTTCCGTCAGGAGGCTGGAGGTCAGGTAGCCCGGACTCCGAGGAACCCGCGACAATTGCACTTCCGGGGCTCTCAGTAGCCCTCCGGATGCCCCGCCCCTCGCTGTCCGTTCCTTTAACTCGTCCCTCGAGCTAGTCAGGCAAACCTAAGTCTTTGCGTTCCAGTTGCCGGGCAGGAAAAAGATGGTAGTAGTCTCCTCGGCCTCACCAGGTGGGAAGGGCGGCCGGAGAAACAAGACCGCAGAAAGCAGCGCGGCTTCCTGTGAGGGACCGGAAAACAGCGACTCCTGTGGGCGCCGCGCTTAGCGGTTGCGCCTCAACTCTATGGTTCTGGGTGGCTAGACGCGCCCAATTTGGGTATTTTTTTTTTGGAAGGCGGCTCATAAGACGACCCGGAAGCGGAAGTCGAAGAACGTTCTAGTAGCTTGAGGTATCGGCGGGAGCTGCCGAGTAGCGCGAGCAGCCGTTACCAGAGCCGGAGCTGCCGGTGAGCGTGAGCGGTGAGGCAGGGCTCCGGGCTCCGGGCGGAGGGGGCGCGCCGCGGCGGGAGGGCGAGGAGCACTCAAAGGCCGCGGCGCGCCGTTGCAGCGGAGCCGCCCGGCCCTGCGGGAGAGGCGGCGCGCGGGGCGGTGGCGCGTGGAGGAGGAGGGGCGGGGCGGCGCGCTCGGGGCGGAGCCTGCGGCCCGGCGGAGCGGGTGCGCGGCGCTAGGTGGCCTCTGGAGGGCGGCGCGGCCCGCGAGACCCCGTGTTTGCAATTCCTACCACGTGGTCGCAGCGGGGTCGGCGTCTGCCTAGCCAAGGTCACCGAGAGGGACAGCGACGGGGCAGGCCCTGGCCGCTGTGTCTGGGAATCTTTGCGGTGCCCTGCGTGCGCCACCTGTTAGTGCAAGCTGGTCCTCTCCACCGGGTCAGTACCCAAACCAAAAAGTGGAGATTCCGCAATAGCGGGGGAAAGACTTCCCAGGCCCTCAGTTTGCTCAGGTGTGAAATAAGAGGAATCGAGGAAGCAGCCACAGTAGCTGACCTAGGAGATTGCCCTTGGGAGTTGTGGTCTTCAGCCCTAACCTGCTTTTTGTTTGTTTGTTTGTTTTTGGGATTTTTCAGGTTAAACCTGATCAAGATGACAACTTCCCAAAAGCACCGAGACTTCGTGGCAGAGCCCATGGGGGAAAAGCCAGTGGGGAGTCTGGCCGGGATTGGTGAAGTCCTGGGCAAGAAGCTGGAGGAAAGGGGCTTTGATAAGGTGTGGCATGGCCACTAACGTCAGGGAGGGGTCCGAGTGAAAGTTGGCAACCGGTGTTTCCAAGCAAAAAAATTGGGAGTGAGGAAAGTAGGGGTATGGGGAGGGCACGGACAGTAGTAGATAATTTGAAGTGGTTTGGGGGCATCTGGGAGACAAGGTCATTTTAGTGGTTAGGTTTTTTTGTTGTTGTTTTGAGACAGGGCTTCTACCTCACAAGTGCTGGGGTTAAAGGTGTACCCCACTGTGTCCCATCCTTTTGGGTGTTTTCAGTGCCACAAAAGTGGAACTAGGTGTAGTGGGTCCTGGTTCTGACCCCAGCACTTGTGAGGTTGAGACAAGAGCATTGAGTTTAATGTTAGTCTAGGCAGCAAAGCAAGAACTCTGTCTTAAAAATGGCCTTACCTTCCCAAGGACTCACCAGCTGGCCCTGCCTAGCTTCAGAGATCTGGCCCCCTTAGGGTGTTGTTTTTAGCCCATGAGGCGCTTAGCTGTGTGCCCTCCTGTCTTGCAGGCTTATGTTGTTCTTGGCCAGTTTCTGGTGCTAAAGAAAGACGAAGACCTCTTCCGAGAATGGCTGAAAGACACGTGTGGTGCCAATGCCAAGCAGTCCCGGGACTGCTTTGGGTGCCTTCGAGAATGGTGCGATGCCTTCTTGTAGTGCACTCTGGGGACTCCTCAGTTCCCCCAGCCACAGAATCTAGTCTGCAGAGTCGGCAGCTGGGTGGGGCTCCTCCCTGTCCCCATGAAGGAAAAGATTGCTGTTGTCACAGTCACCTCCTTTGTACTCCGGGGTCTTTTGGGAGTTCTCTTCCCCACAGCCTTTCATCCATTTTGGAATTCTTGCCCTTGCATGCCTTGCCCCTCCTCCCCCTGCAGGTCGATGGCAACAGCTACCAGCTTTCCTGAATGGATTTCTGGCCCCTTTCTCCCTCCCTTCACCATCTGTTGGATGCCCTTTGGCTCCCCCCCCCTTTTTTTTTTTTGGCAAAAATAGTCACTCTCCTTATAAACATTTCTAGACTAATAAAGTCAGTGGCCTTCCTAGTTGGTCTTCTGTGTTGGAAAGCAGGTGGACTGGGATTGTGTCTTCCCCAGGGTTGAACACATCTACCTCACTTCTTATCAGTGCAGACCGAAACTGGTGGCTTCCCTTTCCCCTCCCAAGAGGGAGCCACCCTAGCCATGTGGGCCTTGGGCAGGTGCCCTAGGTGTCCCAATTCCTAAATAATGTGGGAGAGACAGTGGGTTGATTTCTTCCCGGGAGCCAGGTAGGCTGTAGGCTTCCAGATGTCAACAGTTGGTCAGGCAGCACCTGGTGGAAAAGTCAGTAGGAGTCAGAGTTACCAGGAAGGGGGTGGATAGGATGTAGGTAAGAGGGCTCCTGCCAGTCATCAAGTCATGTGCTCTCCGCCTCTGGGAAGAACGGGTGGGACACTTGCTGTTTGTCCAGCTACCATAGCAATGAAATAGTTAAACATGAAAACTAAATTCCAGTCCAGCTGTTGTCAAGCTCGTGAACAGCCTGAAACTGACATCTTTGTAAACATTTTTAAATTATTTCATTTTGGAGAGGTGAAGAGATTTGGGGCTCAGAAAAGCAAATTTGCCCATGAACTTGCTGCAAGAAAATAGCCACTTGAACTCAGATTGTAATTTGGTAGACTGTTCTGTCATGGAACCAATGACCTCTGAGGCTCAGCTTCCTCATATGGGTGAGGGCTGCGGGGACCAGGTACAATTCTGCTTACACTCACTCCTGCTTGGTGTTCTTTCTACCAACAGAAAGTGTCACTGATGGGGGGGTGGAGCCTGCCTCAAAGTGAAGTGTCAGGCTTTGTTGACTCCCCATGGGAAGCCTTGCCCTTTCTGAGGAGTGCAGGGAAGGGTGGAGAGGGAGTGGGAACGGGGGTGACTATGTAAAATGAGAAAAAATTGTATTTAAAAATTCTTAATAAAAGAAAAAATGTAAAAAACATCCCTGAGCAGTGACTTGATAGTGCAAATGCAGCTCATCCGAGTGCTGACCCCCCCCAGGAGAGTGAGGGTGACGGCACAAGACGAGAAAATCTTCATGATCTCACGGTGAAGAGAATATTAATAAGATGGTCTCTGTAAATACTAGAAAGTTAATCTGAAACTTGAATAAAGAGATGGGCACAGAGTGAGAGTGTTTTTAATAACATACCAGAGCTGCTGTTAGAATGTCTGGGATTGATAGAGTGTGGTGGTTGGTAGAGTGGTGGTGCACACTTCTATAATCAAGACTGGGAGGTGTGAGGATCTGAAGTTCAAGGTCATCCTCACCTACAGAACAAGTTCCAGGCTAGTCTAGGGTCCATGAGATTCTATCTCCTAAAGAAAGTCGTCTGTGGAGATGGCTCAGGGAGTAAAACTTGCTCAAGTTCAAATCCATAGCACCCACATAAAAACAGGCATGGCTGCGCATACCCCTAACACCATCGTCATTGCAGAGCAGGGGATCCAAGGAGGCCTCTAGTCTGTCTGACTGACAGCTCAATTCTCAGCAAGTGAGGTGGAGAATGCCTGACCTCTGACCTCCACATGCATAGACAAAGGCATCACCCCCCACCACACACAACAAGGAAAAGGGGAACGCAGGCTGGGGATGTAGCTTTGTGGTAGAATGCCTAGCATTCATGAGGCCCTGGACTCAATCCCTAGTATTGCAAGAAGAGGACAGCATAGTATGGAACTTGGTTGAAAATCTGAAAGGAAGCCGCAAGGGAGGATTTTAAAACTATGTGGAAAGGGTTCACTTTCATCAGAAATCAGAAAAATAAGTACCATTAACGCCTAGCTGATTGGCAAAAATCTAAGTCAGACAATACCAAGTGTTGAGCAGATGGAGCAACAGGAACTGATCCCTAGTTGGTGGGAGTAATTGCTATGAGCACTGTGGAAAAGCAGCTGAGTGTTATTTTGCAAAACTGACACACCCGGTGAGCCATCGATTCCATTCTTAGGACCGTGCCTGTAAGACTCCTGAGTACCTGCACCAGAACTTCAAGAAATGCCCACAGCTGCCTAGTCTGTGAGACCCTGCAGTGTAGGCTGGCAGGTCCCAGTATGAGCGTAAGTTCTTGGAACTGGACGGCAGGGAAAGTGAACCAGAGTAGTAGTTCAGAATCTCAATGTGGGACATTGGACACAAACCCATGTGTCTGCCATGCTTTGGTAGTGCACGCCTTAATCCCAGCACTCAAGAGGCAGAGGCAGGCAGATCTATGTGAGTGCAAGGCTAGCCTGGTCTATAGAGCAAGTCTCAGGACAGACAAGACTATACCCTATCTTTTTTTTTTTTGGGGGGGGGGTGGTGTTGTGAGAGCAGCCTCGAACTCACAGAGATCCCACCTGCCTCTGCCTCCCAAGTGCTGGGATTAAAGGTATGCACTACCACTGCCTGACTGAGAACCCTTAAAAAAGCAAACAGCCAAAGCAAAACAAAAAAAAACAAAACAAAACAAAAACACAACAAAAGCAAAAAAGCACCAAAACCCCCATGTTGTTCTATTATTAGGATTTCTGTGTTTGTATCTTGCTGTGTAGTCTTGGCTAGCCTGGTCCTCACTGTGTAGCCCAAGATGGCCTTACGCTCACAGCATTTCTGCCTTAGCCTCCTGAATGCCAGGAGTACAGTCCTACACCCTGACCTGCTTCCGTTCACGATCAGAAGCAAAATCTTGCTTAGGAATTCTATGTAGATGGTAAGACTAGAAAGAAAACCAAGGAACTGCTTATTGCAAAAAATTAGTGATGGCCTTAGGAGTGTGGCGCTGCTGTAGCGCTTGCTCAGCACACACAAGACCCTGGATTTAACCCTGGCTCAAAGGGTTCGTCAGCAGGAAAGAGGGAGGAATCGCCAAAGCAATAATGGCCATCGTCTTTGGAGAAAACAGTTCAGTGATAACGGAGGGCCTTGCAAATAGGGGGCATTCTCATTTTCTTATCTCTGAGGTGATAAAATTGTCTGTAGTTATTGAATTGAACAGGTTTTTAGGTGTAACTAAATGGTAGAACTATTTATTACTTACCTAGCGTGTGTTAAATTCTGGGTTCGATGTCTACCATCTCATACACAACGAGCATCTGTGTCGGGTGCCCTGTCCTGTGTATTGATGATATTTTAGAGCTATAGGAGAAAAGCAAACAAAAACGACATCCCGAGGAGTAGCAGGTGTGTGTGGCAAGCATGCCTGTAATCTGAACATCTGAGAGGCAGAAACGGGGCTTGAGAGTTTGAGACGCGCCTGGGCTCCATGGTCAGATAGTCTCATAAAACAGTAAGACAAGACAAACCATGAAACGAAAACACGATCTGAGGCTCGACCAATCAGGTGATCAGTCAGAAACTGTTCTGACGTGGATATGGGTGAGAGCTCACTCAAAGCTGGGTCAAGACAAAGTATCCAACCCACCCTGGAGTGGGTCTCAGGTACCCTCAGCAGGCGGCTACACTTCTACTTCCTATTGTGACCCTGTCTCAAAAGAAAAATAATTTTTTTCATAAAATATCTTTCCAAAATCATATGACTGTCAAAATCTATGACCAAAACTTGCCTAAATTTTCTTTTCTTTTCTTTTTATTTTATTTTTTTGGACAAAGGGACTTTATTAGACTGCCCGGATCACAATAGGACTTAGGAATTAGCATTGGGGCCCTTCTTCTTGCCAAAGGTGGGCACAACGTTGACAAAGCGACGGTTGTACTGCATCTGTCACTTGGCCCGGCCTGTCTTCTTCTTCTTCTCCTGCTTGGCCATCTTGGGAGTTTGACCTCTCAGTTTTCCAGCACGGGCCAGGGAACCATGAACTTTACCTCCCAGCATGCGGCCAGCTACTTCCAAAGTGGTCAGAGCTTCCACGCCACACTGGCCTAGGGTGGCCTCATCCTCCAGCAGCGAGCCAGCCAGAAGCAGGACTTGATCCTCCGGGGCAATGCCTTCCAGTGAGGTCATATGAGCTTTGATCTGTGCGACCGTTTCTTGGCCGGTCACCTCGAGGGTGTGTAGTTCCTGGGCGCGTACAAAGAGCTGCATGTTGGCGACTGACCCTCGGACGCCGAGGCTGCTGCCGCAAAAATGGAGTCAAGAAAGAGGAAGAAGCAGGGGCGCGCACGTCCTCACCGCCTGCTGCGTAGCACGTCACTCTTGCCTAAATTTTAAAGACTGAATCCAGCCTTGAATCAAATACCTCACCTCTCCTTGCCAGGAGGGTAGGGAGCCAGAAGGCATAGTGGGTGCCTTTCATCACCCCTGTTTCAGAAAGATGAGCATCGGTGCCTCAGCTTCCCGCAGGGGCCAAGCCTCTGCTCCCTCTGCAGCTCCCTACAAGAACCCCCCTTACTACACTTGACTGGGAGTGGGAAAAGCTAAAGGGAGAGACGTGGACAACCAGGCTGGACTCCCAAGTACCCCTGACCTAACCTGCCTTGTTGCCAGCTGGTGGTGGCATCAAGCACTGACTCTGGACACAAGCGAGCGCACAACAGTGAAAGAAGGCTTGACTGTGTGCGCGTGTAACCCACTCCAGGGTGACTGCAGGACTCATGGGAGCAAGCGTGGTGGTAGAGACACTTCAGGTCATGGGCTTCTTCTTCCTCCTTCACCTTCCTCTCTCCTCCTCTTCTTCTTCTTTGAGACAGGGTTTCTCTGTGTAGCCCTGACTGTCCTGGAACTTGCTCTGTGGACCAGGCTGGGCCTGACTTGAGAGAGTCACAAGATTCTGAAGGCTAGGCAGCCCTGCCCAGCCCAGCGCTGCTTCTTGCATTGCTTTATTCTGTGTGCTTCATTCAC